GGGACAAGTGCGACGATTTTTAGATATTATTGGAAAAACCATTTGTGTCGACACAATGAACCGGCACACGTGTGGCTTGGCCTAGTTCGGGCCGCTTTATCAAATGTGGAATAAATTGTTATTTTACTAAGTAGGCGTATTGAATTTCATCGAGACGAGATGAAAGGCAGTGATAATATTGAGTGATGTAAACTCTCCAGCTCGCTACGAACAACTCTCTGGTAAATTATTCCATCGTTATTGTTCATGACCAAAACTCAAGACCAAAGTAACGAAACCATAAAATGCATATTCATTAATTTAGTTCAATTTTTATAACTAGATGGCGTTGCCGCAATTAAAAGCAAGCTATGGTTTCGTTACATCGATTTGCTTAAGATGGTAATTTTTTGTATGTACTAAGTTCGCACCAAAACGAATAAATATAAACCAGCAGTTCAAGCACTAATTACGGAGTTTCAATATAACCCTTATTAGTAGCTACATTAGGTCAACGTTACTTCGGTAATAAACAGTTATAGAATTGAGATTCCTGCCCCGTCGCTGCGAAGTCTCCAAACTTGGAGCACGTAGCTGATCAACGCCACTTTGGTCCGACCTCCTCTAATTTTTAATAAGATTACACTTCATTAAAACGTATCCCGCAGTAATCAATTGCTGGATTTAGTCGGTTATTAATTTTTGGTTACTTAGTAGATAATCCATGCTTTAAATGTACATTTCAGTTACATTATTCCAACTTGAAAATGGTTGCTTCCGTCTGAGTAACAGAATTTTATTTAATTCTCAAGCTCGGAACTAACTTCTACTTCGTGTTTTTGTTGCACAAACATGTACCTGTTGTCACAATCCCACAAATAATGATCGCTTGTAAAGTTTACGGGTTACATTCAAGGTTATACACACTTAACCTGCACGGCTCCGCCGCGCCGGTTTTTGCTTTGGAAACAATACAAAAAGGCTGTAAATGCGTTGTCGGCGTGCTTACATCTTTTTCATATTGGCGTTATAAAATATGTCATATGATATAAGATATAATGTTCAAATTTAAATGACGAGTTAATTGCTGGGTTACAGCCTGGTTAGAGCGGTACCGGATAAGTGTAATATGACCTTTAGGTGGGCGGCGTCGCGTGACAAACTATGTATGTTAGTCGGTGGCGTGTACAAAGTGTTGTCACGTCGAACACAACATCGTTTGTGGCCGGCTTTATTAAAATTTAGTAAAAGCCGGCGCCTCCACGCTTCCGAGCAACTTTACGGAATTGACACACTTTGCGAAATATCAGCACGAGGAGTGTGCAGGCTGCACGGGACACAAACGGGTCGTGGCTGCTTACTTACAGGGTAGTGGTGCCTGCAATGTGCTTATTAATTTTATAACAATCAGATTTCACGTTGGCTTCCAGGAGACGCTTCTATTGCATACTTCGCAGTAAAATATTATTAAATATTTAATATCAACAGCCGACACTTCATATTTTCTTAAATAACAGAATCATAAAAACAAATAGACATTCGCAAGCTTTTAAAATGCAAATGTACTAACAGTTTTTATAACAAAGAGCTCCCATTGTGAGTTGAAAAAGTTGTCCATTTGTGCTAACACTGAACAACTGAATATAACCACTGAAAAAAGCCGCCAAATGCTTCAATTAACCGTAGCGACCGCGAAAACTTGCGAAGGCGAATATTAAAACAATCGACGCGCCGTCAATAGAGAGGATTTAATTAAAAGATGACCACACACCATCAGCTAGCAGAAGGACTACTCACAACTACACAAAACATAACATAACATCATGCCCTTTATCCCCGAAGAAGTAGGCAGAGATACACATTAGGGCACTTAATGCCATTGTACAATGTAACACTCACTTTTCACTATTTATGTTATGAGTCCCATGTAATAGGGGATGAGCCTATTGCCATATACTGGGGCCATTTCCAGACTCCATACTACTACTGAGATTAAAAAAAAAAACATCAACCCGGGTATCGAACCCGAGACCCCTTGCCCGGTAGTCGCACTTGCGACCACTCGGCCAATGAGGCAGTCATTTCATGAATACTCACAACAGCTACATGTTTGTAGATCAGTTTAATATACAAGGCATTATTTTACGCAAACACTAAGTAGACGGTATTGTCAATGTCTCGACACCAAAGTCACCAACAAAATGTTCAGCAGCGATATCGATTAATAAACCAGGTCCAGCCAACACATGGACCTTCTCCAACACTTAGACAGATTTTCGGTAAACTGATAAAATAAACAGATTAAGTTTGGCAGATTGTAACGCATTGGCGTGTACACGGCCGTAACATGAGTTTAAGGGTTTAAGTCTACAGTGGAGGTATTGATAGATGCTCTTGTAGTTTACATTTTCTTAGATTTTCGTGTCACCGTGTGTGATAGGTTCCCAAAACTATTACAAAGCACGTAAGAATCGTGAATCAACCTTTTGCATTTTCCCAGTGAGTGTAGTACTAGCAGCCCGGTCGCGCCGGTTGGCCCCGGGCCAGGGGGACACTGTGGTTTGGCACCAGGTCAGCAAACTGTAAGGCCCTAGTAGTTGTTTAGTTATGAATGAAATATACAGGTTTTTTTCTTGAGCATATTGTCAATAATTTCTTACCGGACCGTTTATTGTAAACATGAAACAGCAAGACTTGATCCCACACAAATGTTATCGCGAATGTTAAAAAACTATTTCTACAATCATATCGTGGCGAATGTAAACAATATGATTATTTACTATACCTATCCGTGCAAGTATCATGGCAGTCATTTTGTGATTAAAATAAACAAAATAATTTTATACTTTTTAATCAAGTTACTAGGTAGAGACAAAAGTTGGAAAGAGATAGGTTCCACTATCACAACTAGGGCACGACCGTTTTATGCTAATTTTAAGACGCAAAAGTAGAAAATCGTCAGGTAACTGCACTTGTACTCTATTCTTAGGTTTTGTTATTTACGTAGGTGCTTAGAAAGCTAGTTAAAGCCTTAGATAGCTAATTCTGTAGGAACCTGCAGAGAGTCATAAGATGTGCACTGTACAACTCTACAGTCAACAAGGAAACACAAAACCTAGGCATTAATGCTGGCTACACAATGGACGACACTCAAGTCTAATAAATATATGATAGAAGACAAACAGTTGTGTGGTATAAGCTCATGAGTCCTGGTTCCCCTCGTCGCCTGGCAGCTGTCCAAAACAATGGAACAAAAATATCCAGTGACAATTTACAGCAGCCTGCAACAGACGCTGCGCTGATGTTGTATGCATGCTGTGATTTGTTCTCACTTCTTTTTCACGTGAGTTACTTAATGTTCAGTGGCAAGTAAATCTTCCTTTACCATTCGCACATGTCTTAAGTGCTCCTAGGTTTGTGCCAGTTGGGCCAAAGAGGCAACATATTTATGAACAGAAATGAGCACAAACACAACATAATCTTAGTAATTACTTTCACATCATTAGCTAACGCGACTATCCGGAATTTAGGTCAACCACACATCTCTATTTACTTCGGCACCTCCGAGACCGCGGGATTGTTCCCAGTTAGGTACTTGCCGATAGATAATCCCGCTTACTGTGCACACGGAAATAAATATGGTTGCCGCAGTGACACGCCTGACAGATGTCAACTGTCAAGTGTGACGTCACAATATGTCGCTCTATGTATGTTTCTCTTTGTTGTTCTCTTGTTACAATATTATTAGATAGACTCTGTTCAAGTACCTTATTAATACATTAGGTATAATGAAATCATGTAAAAGACGGTCAAGATTCAAGTTTTTTTTTATAAGTTTAATTAGTGAGTCGTAGTGTTAGTGAAAACCATGGTCAGCAGTGGTCGTTTAGTGACTGACAATAATGATGATGATGATGATGATATATGAATTATCTCTTGCGCTACCCCTCCCGGGAAAACGCTGTGAGAGTCTAAATTTTCTTTTTTGCTTAAAATCCATTAGTAAACCAATAAAATATTCATCTACAAAATATTATGAAGAATTTCGTTGTAAAGAAACAAAAAATCTAATTTCAAAAATGTAGACTAATGTTTTATACACTTACATAATAAATTCATGAAGTACGAACAACGACTCCATGACTCCGCTAGTCGTAAGAGATTATTTGAAATGAGATAAACGTATTTGTTTACTGAAACAAATGTACTGTTTCAGTATTTATTTGTTAAGGCCGCTTTGGCCTACAATGAAAACAATTGTCCATTTCATATAATTAAATTATTTCTTACGACGAAAATTATTTTTTCACCTTAATTTGCGGAAACAATGACACATTTCTATATTTACTAACAAACAGAGAAAAATCTGAATTGAAATAATAATTAGAAAGTATTAAATTAAATAAAAAACGCGGGTGAACTCAAATAAATATACTTAGAAACGCTCTACTAGTTTCGAACCACAGAGAGGTTCTTCCTCATGAGCAGCGTGCTCAGTCGCGGCGATAACGCGGCTACTCCTAGCTAAGGATTAACTTACTAGAGATGAGATGGAACCTGTGCTATGACATTCTGTTCTGGAATTGAACCAGAATATGATGTCAGAAATACAAAATCTTTTTCAACAAATAGAAGTATTGTTGAAAATAATTAACTCGTTCTCTTTTTCGACTTTACAAATGAACGCAGACGATTAATTACATCAGTCAATAGTTTTACATCAAAAATAAACATTTCAATTTTGTAGCGACCAATAAGTACGCTTGTTAATACTGGCAACATTGAGTTAACATTAACAGTTTATCGGTACTTCATTATAAAGTTGTGTGCATACAAACTAGCCTCATTTTATAGTCAGCCATTTGTAATTACATCGAGAGCTATTTATATTGAATGCTGTGACAGAGCGTCTATGATAACTGTTATCAGAAACCGTGATGCCTGACAATAGATAAGTAAATAATTACCTCACGTTTACAATAAAAACATTAATTATTTGTATGTAAATGTACAGAGTACCTACTGAGCAATGACTGCACGACTAGTTGAATTTTTGTTAGTAAGGTTACTTGCGCAGTCGAGTGTGGTGTCCTGCAACCTTCAGTTGTTTACTGATACAGGTGAGTGTTACATAAACAATACATTGCTATAATGAGATAATGCTATGTGAAAAATAGAATAGTTTGCACAAACAGTTTATTTAACCCAACACCGGATGATAAGTGTCGTAGATAAACTTATCGGAGTTCACTGAGCGTGGCGGATAATGATGATACACATTATTTTGCGTTATCTCGCTTTAAATAACTATTATAACTATTACACACCAGTTGGTATAATTCCTCATTTCACAGAGAAACACCGCTCGGGACAGATATGGTGAAGGTAGCCGTGGTCACCGGTTCTAACAAAGGGATCGGCTTCGCTATAGTCAAGGGTCTCCTAAAGAGGTTCGATGGCGTGGTCTATTTAACTTCAAGAGACGTCGCTCGAGGGCAGGATGCAGTCGCCAAGCTGAACGAGCTCGGTCTACATCCCCAGTACCATCAGCTCGATGTTACCGACAGGGATAGCGTGGCCAAGTTTAGAGACCACATCGAAAAGAAGTATGGAGGCATCGACATACTCGTCAATAACGCAGCCGTCGCCAACATCGAAGACCGTACCTACGAAGCATCAAAAACTGTCGTGGACATCAACTACTTCAGCATACTGACAATCCAAGAACTGCTGTTTCCATTGGTCAGGAACAATGGACGCATCCTCAACATCTCTAGTGACTGTGGACATCTGTCCAACATTCGCAACGAATACTGGATACAAAGATTATCCAAAAAAGATCTGACTGTGGAAGATGTCAACGAATTTGCTAATTGGTTTTTAGATGGAGTCAAGAATGGAACCTTCGACTACGGGGATATAGCTGATGGTGGAACTATTGCCTCGTACAGGGTGGCGAAGGTGGCGCTCAGTGCGATTACCAGGGTGCAGCAGAAGGAGCTCGAAGCGAAGAACATCTCAGTGAACTCCATGCATCCGGGGCTGGTGCAGACTGACATGACCCGCGGAGTTGGATTCTACGACATCGACCAGGCAGCTGACACTCCCATATATCTAGTTCTAGAGGCTCCTGACACCCTCAAGGGAGCTTACATATGGTATGACAAACAAGTGCTCGACTGGTTCGACTACAAAGCTGATTATTACTTTAAAATAAGAACCATGATAAAGTAAACTGCAAAATGTGACTCTAACAACAACAAATAAAGTATAATGGCCCTGTGTTGTGTATATAAATATAACATTTAATTTTATTGGAAATTATTTTGGAAATCACGACGTGTAAAAATATACTTTATATTTATGGTGCGACTTAAATTTCTCTTTGTTTGTGAAATTAATTACTGCTCGTAAATTATATCCGGTTTTGGACCTCTACCAATATAATTCGCAGCTCCGGGGAGCGTGAGCATTGCCATGACTACCTGCTACTGTACGTGGGTACTTACTGCAATACTGTTATCAAATGTAATTCTATAGATGAGGAAAACGTCTCGAATACATCTCAAACAAACGTATATATCTAAATAGTGAGTTATGTAAATGAATGAATCCTGACCCTGAACGAATAACCGTAACCAAAAATGTATGATGTACTTCTGTAACCAGAACCACATTCCTTATAAAATAATTTGTTTCACGGGGCTTTGATGTTTGTCTTGCGAAGTTTTGATTAAACTGAAACAAAGTGTTCCGCTCGTACGTAGAACATGTCGACACGAAGTGTAATCAAATAAAATATATTTATTGTATTTGTCTTTCGTTCGTGATATATTAGTTCACTAGACTTTATAGAACTTTATGTCTCTGGGAACAATTATGACTTGTACTGTACTTGGGGAGTTTGGAAAAATTGTGAAAACTCAAGTCTTGAAAGTTAAAAAAAGATTCTTAAAATATCTCGAGGCTATGAAAAATTAAGTAAGTGGGTGTATTTAAATCATATGGAAGTTGTTTTCTTTCAAAAGTAATCTTTCTTAGACTTGAGTTAAGAATAGTGGAAAGTAAAGATCCACTAGAATAGAGAAGTCGCTTTAGCACCCGTCTGAATAACGTGCGTGTGTGTGACACTGGTTCCCGGGGGATGTGTGTCGACAGCTATACCAGTGAGCCGGCACATACAAGCCAGTTCATACAAACAAATTACATAATTTACGTTTATAATACCCACTTGTCTGGCTCCATTCACGATGTAAGCGTGTTTGCGGCGCGCGGCGGGCGGCGGCGGGCGGCGGCGGCGGGCGGCGGGCGGTGGCGGGCGGTGGCGGTGCGGAGCTCCTATTTATCTGCTAAACTTTTGATTAAATCCTACCAAAACAATAGTGATGTACTCCCATAACACAAATTTCGGCTTGTTAGTTTGTTTTTTGATTTCTGAATACAATCTGTGAAGTATAATTAGTTGGTAGCGTGAATTACTGTTGCAGGTTCTATTGGAACGGTACTAAACGAGTGAATGTTACAGATAAACCTGGATAAATGCGCTGGATGTCCGGTAGTGCTTTATTCCTGTTGAATGTAATGTGCGTCAATGTTCATTGTGTGGTGACGACAGAGACTGTGACTTCTTTTCAGGGGATCTCCGTCGACTTCCAACCCACTGCCTGCCAAGCACATAGAGACTACCATACCCCTCTTATTGTAGGCTCATGATCATGAGCAACATTGTCCAACTCACGACGAGACGAACGTCACGCAGCCAATTCGTTGCCTAAATATAAATAACTAGCTACTTCCACGCGGTTTCATCCGCTCTGCTCGGTCTGCGCGTAAAGTTTTACAGTCTATAGTCTTTCTCGATATATAAGTATAAGAAAAGTGTGGGAGGGCCATGCTTCGGCACGAATGGGCCGGCTCGACCGGAATGATCCACGGCCTCACAGAAAACCGACGTGAAGCAACGCTTGCGTTGTATTTCGTCGTGTGAGTAAAGTTACCGGGGGCCCAGCTACCCTACCCCCTGCCCCTATCTCCCCAATACTCGAATCCCCAACAATCCTCGAACTCCTAATCCCCAAAAAACCAGTAATGCACTTGTAACGCTTCTGGTGTTCCAGGTGTTCATGGGCGATGCCGATTGCTTACCATCAAGTGATCCGTCTGCTCGTTTACCGGCGTATCATAAGACAAAAAATAAGATTAAACCCCTCTTATGTAAACGAGTCCATAGTCCAAAACTGGAATATCAACGGCTGTTGACAATTTCAGTGTTTGCCTACCTTTTGCATACTTATACTGTAAACATATACAGGAGTTTAATATTATGATTAGCATTAAACTGTCACGATAAACATGATAGACGAGTTCTGTCATATGGGTATAACACAAACACACATACAACCGTACATCACAGCAGGAACTGCCGACACAGTAGTCTACATAGTTATTATCACGTATCAGCACCCAGTGGCATGGATCCTCGCTGGATAACTTACTACTACTACAGTAATCAGGGAACTATCGCAATCAATACCAGAGTGCAGCCATTATGAGGCAATCGCATAAAACACAGCTCTTAGATAACGCACGAAGCGATCAAACTCGTCCCATAACGATCCATTGCTCGCTCAGTATGAATTATTCATACCACACCGCACAGAATACCATTAACGCATCTCCATGTAAGTGCTGTATGCTCTGTACGTCGATTTACAACAATGTTTCGTAGGTAACCAAAGTATAAGGAGCGTCTAATCATTGCATTAAGTTAAAAACTAGGTGTCATAGAAGTAAGTATTTACCTACCTATGTAGAGGTATTATATTTTTTTCTCTCGAGCATATCGTACAGCAGTTACAATTGCGACGACTCTCAAGTCGAAGTTTCAGATGGTATCTGGTCCAAAAAACATGCAAGTTTGAAAACAAACTACATTTTCTAGGAAACACATAACAACACTAGGTGTTATCCAATTCCAGTATTTTTAATACAATCAAAATACGTTGATAACATTTAAACCATAGCCAGGAGGCGGGCGCGCGGGGCGCACACCGATAAATCGAATCACTGCGGGCAATTTGGCCTGAAGCCTATTTCCTACGTTTTATTAGATTTTATAAATAACTGCACGAGTATTGCAATGAAAATATTTCATTTGTACTACTCAATAATACATATATCAAGTGGTTTGAAGTAACTCATACCGGAACTGGAGAACTACATACTGTGGTGCAACAATCGCACAACTGAGGTAATAATGTTCACATACGATACTAGTTATGAAGTAAAGATTAATAATTGCAACCGTGTTGTCACATTAGCTACTGCTGATAATGAAATATGCAAATAACTTGAGTCTTATCGCGAATTTACTTAGGTTTATCAGTAAGTAGGTAGTAGTGTAATCTTGTACAAGCAGAGTACGCAGAGCTGTTCAGTTGTTGCACCGCTGCGATAACGTTTGTACACAGACATGGTTAGAGTGGCTGTGGTCACCGGCTCCAACAAGGGCATCGGCTTCTCCACTGTCAAGGGACTACTGAAGAGGTTCGATGGAGTAGTATTCCTCACCTCTAGAGACGATGGCAGAGGCAAGGCTGCTGTTGATAAGCTAAATGCCCTCGGCCTGCATCCAGAGTATCACAAGCTCGATGTGACAGACCGGAACAGTGTGGCCAGGTTCAGGGACTATGTGAGAGACAAATATGGCGGCATCGACATCCTGGTCAACAACGCAGCCATCTGCAACTGCACGGACCTGTACCTCTCCTACGAGGAGAGCAAGAACATCATCGACATCAACTACTTCAGCTTCTTTATAATCCAGGAGTACTTGTACCCGCTGGTCAGAAACAATGGACGTATCCTGAACATTTCTAGTGACTGCGGACATTTGTCTAATGTGAGGAATGAATACTGGATCAAGAGATTGTCTAACAAAGATTTAACAGCGAAGGATATTAATGAGTTTGTGAACTGGCACCTGGAAGCAGTGCAGAGTGGTACCTTCAATAGGGCTGATTTTGCGGATGAAGGGACGATAGCAGCGTACAGGGTGGCGAAGGTGGCAGTCAGTGCTCTTACTATCATACAGCAGCGGGAGCTGTACGGGAGGAACATCAGTGTGAACTCCATGCACCCTGGGCTGGTGCGGACTGACATGACGAAGGGAGTCGGCTTCCTGGACGCCGACCAAGCTGCAGAAACTCCTCTCTACATGGTGCTGGACGCTCCCGCAAGTATTAAAGGAGCCTACGTCTGGTACGATAAACAAGTACTAGACTGGTATGATCCTAAAGCGGATTGGTATTTTAAATCTATAACATTTTCACAATAACTATTGGGTCCAGTGCGTATATCAAACTTATTGCTGCCAGCGCAGAAATTTGTAATTAAATTAATTAATTTAACATTTGAGTGATTTTAACAAAGCTAAGCTGAAATATGTTTATTAAAAAGTAAGTTTTACATAATTATTTGCTGTTTAAATTATCCGTAGATATACTAATACGTATATTAGAATGCAACTCTATCATAACATCGGTAAAACAATCTTATCGTCGCACTATTGAGAACCTATTGACAAACATGACTGTAAATTGATTGCACTTCAGATGGTACAAAGTACATACCTATATATATTGTGCATTATTTTGTGCTCAATATATCGATATTAGTTTTGAGTTGAATTCAATTTAATACCTTCATTTATGACGAACTTATTCTAGATATTATCATTTACAGAGCAATTAAAATTGTTTGACTAGAATCGAACTACGTTTAACCCCAGTTGCAAATATAAACCTATTTCGAGACGACTCCGGTTACGATGCCACGAATAAAATACCCAACTGAACGACAGTGCAATTCTTTTACACGACGGTGACCTTTGCGACTCTCCGCGTCGATGTTACGTCACGACAATAACAAAAACACTCGTTTTTCTTTGCGCTACAACTCTCTAGCCGAAAGAAAATTACTTTAGCAACCGATAAAGACAAATAGGTTTCCATATAAATGTAGTTGAGCTAAATGAGTTCATTTGGCGAACCAATCAGCATTAGGCAGTTGTTTCAACATGGCCGCCGCGTGACCAGTGGCGCGGTGTCAAGTTCATCGCTGATACTCTACGAGGATAACATTATGTGACATATGACGTCTCCAGCTGTGTGAGCTCTGTGACACACAACAATCAACATTACATACTTAAGTTCACACAGTTCCTTGCACGTTACGTGTACACGTACAATTATTATCATTGCTTTTTTTTCCGAATAAAAACTGTTGATTACAGCCACGTATATCCATTAGGAATGCCTATATATTATTGTTTGTGTGACTGTGTATTTATTATTATTGTTTTGATGAATTTACTGATAGTATCGATGTAGACTGAGTCGGCGCCGAGTGAAAGCAAATAATGTAATGAAATCATATGTTATTGTCGGCTATTGACTTGCCTCGGCACGCTTTCCGAACTGTTCAATCAGTTTGATACTCCGCAGATAAGTAATATAACGATTAAACTAACATTAAAATACAAAACTTGTACAATAACAATAATTCAAACTTTTCCTTCTTCATAAGCAATTTCCCGAATTCACATGTCTTGAAAACAATCGTAACATTCGAAACTGAACCTTGTTAGACGTAGCGAAGGTTTAAACTTGTGTACATGTGCGGTGTAAAATGATAATACCCAAGTGAATATTAACGCGACTGCTAATGGAGTAATGGCACTCGTACATATGAATAATTCACGTATCGAATTAAAGCGAGCCAACTTTTGTTCTGTTTACACTGGAATTAAAAAGTTTCCCAGCACGAGTGACGCGGGAGGAAGGGAGCGGTGCCATTGAATTTACAGAAGCGGCAATTTCCGTAGAAAGGGGAGTGACACACGGACAGTCTGTGCGAGCGTATCTACGAGATACTTCTGTCATACCATGCGGGTCTACAAGATCCTGTAACGGCGGGAGGAAGGTCCCTAACACCACGAAGTGTTATTATATTCCGTTATCAACAAATTAAAGGCTCGCTCATTATAAATCACATTACAGCAAACTCTGGTTATTTGATTATCTTCACAGAGTAAACAAACATGGAATTAAATTAGATTAACGATAATTTATGCATCAGCTTATCATTTTCAGGTACCGGCAGCGCAATAAATCAGCGCGGCACTGCCAGTGAAACCTTATTGTTACATTAATTAATGGCTAATATACAACTAAATTATATTATTATTCCAATAATCTGCTTATGCATATTATACTAATGGCCATTTAGAATGTAGGTCAGTGAATAAACTTTTATTCATAATGATTTATCACAAACATCTGTATATGTTCAACGTTCTAGTCAACATTCCCGTTCAAACTAAGTGCCCGTATATTCCGCGCGTGTGCAAACGTAATGTGATGTGGTTATGTCAAAGAGTTCGCAACGAAATTAGATGTGAGTCGAGAGGTCTGCCATGTTTTGTGATAGTAGGCGGCGGGGGCGCGGGGCGCGGGCTCGGGGGCGCGGGGGCGCGCTGCATTGTGTGATCCTGGTTAACCTTGCCCCGCTTATGTATTGACGGGTGAATACGAGCCTGCAGGCGAGGCTCTCATCAATACCCTCTCTAACATGAAGCTGGAACTTTGAGGTTTCTTGTGTGGCTCTAAACTCTCTTTAGCGATTTGAATAACAAAGGAAATACTATACGACCTATACATTTGTTCATCTCATTCACATTAAAAAGGAAAAAAATACGATCTTATTTCAGACAACGACATCGAAAACGCAGTAAACAATACGGAGAGAATTCTGTACTTCCCGCAAGAACAAAAATGTAGTGGGCTGAAGGCTGCCTGCTGCCTGCGTAACAATAACTTGTGAAGTAAACAAGTTTGCTACAAGCTCCTTGACTGATCCGCAGGATGTTGTTATAAAGAACTACTAACTACTACCATTATCTGCTATCAGTAAGGTGTTCCTGCAAGTATAAATTATCTGATATTGCGGAGGTCGCCCGGGTCACCCGACTACAGTAACAGTTGGTAGCGAGTAGCGAGCATGATTGGCTAGTCACCATCCTCCATTTACGTAACACGGGATCATAAGGACCAACAGCTTAATCTAACTGAATAACAGTTTGGACATACTATATGACCTAATATTCATAGTTATAATTTAACTCGTACAACAATGTATCCCAGCTATAATATGCTCCTACTTATTCCCTAGAGAAATGACAATCATGATGTTACGTTTACATTTTTATCTTAAAGTTTACAACAGAGAGATAATATCCAAACGAATTTACTGAAGGCAGCCTTTTATTTATAAGTTTAATATTCTTTAAGGAACGACCATTTATCTCGGTTAAACTTTATTCAGAGGATCCTTATCGGGTTATGAACCGCGGTACCGGCGAACACGTGCTCGTAAATTGAGTTAAACAAGCTGTGGCCACGACTGCACTTTACCCACGGTGCTAAAAATGTAGATTTAAACACAAAATGTGCATAATTATGCAGAAATTTGCATAAACAGCCGACGGTTTTTATGCGACTCGTGAATGTACTGACCAGATGTGGGCCAAGTGCGGAGTGGCAGCGACTGGCGGCGGCGGCAGATGTTCCACGATACGTGTGTAACGTGTCATCGTGACGTCATCTGCTACAGGGTGCTTGGATGAACGTAAATAATGCTACGTCTCTAAGAGTGTCTACCATTTCAAATGAAGTCTTAGTATGAAGTTTTTGGATCATTGATATTTATTACACAGGACGTGTACACATAGAATGGGCTACATCTGAACAAACTACAACACACAGTCAAAGACTGAGTTTCTCTCTAATCGCCTATACCTCGGCGCGTATTTACAGTGGAGCCCGCAAATGTACGAGTGACGGGTTTATGCACGCGTGACGACCCAGCAGGGAAGGGTTGCTAGGGGGGGAGGGGGCGGAGGTAGTTTATAGATAATCTTTAAATAAATACGAAACATGCTTTTTACGAGCGATTTATCTTTATCCCGTATTTTGTATCTGTCTCATATTTATTTATTTGTGTACTTCACTGATTTTAGTAAATATTTATTTACATTATTATAGCTTATTTTTTGTAAATTGAGGCAATTTTGTGAGGTTTTTGAATACTTTGAAGAAATGAAGCATTTCTAGTATTTACTATATTAATAAAACACACTTGATGTAAGTTACAAACGAACTGTAAGACACGTCAGTACACGCGTGTAGTCGCGCCTTGGAGCGCTTAAGTAAAGCTTGTTACATCTTAATTACATAAAAGTGTTTGCTCACATAATAAGACCCTAAACTAGACTAGTACGATACAGCCTAGACCAGACCAGACTCAAGTACATTGTGAAGTATAAGATCTATACAAATTAGATGTAAGGTAAGTAGTTACTAGCTCTCCAGACAACTCAGACGTAGATGGATATACACATAAAACAATTAAACAAATAATTTTATTTACATTTCGATCTGTCGTCCGCTTTGAGTACTAAATGTCGAGGGAACGTAGCTAAAGCCGAGCTCGTAATTTCCACGAAAGTATTGTATAGTGTACTTCGTTCAGCAGTGGACGGTGGGAGTGACTCGCTCACTACATTTAAAAGTATTTGCAAGACAAACAACCGCAATGTTAATGACGTTGTGCGGTGCAGGCTAGGTGCAAAACTATGCTACAATGTATAAATAAAATGTTATACTCTATGGGAGATAGTAAAATATATTATTATGTATGTTAAAATGGGTAGTACGGGCACCACATTGTTAAGGGAAGTGTATGTTACTCGTATGTTTAGTTCGCCAAGGCTTATTATGTATGATATAAAACACAAGGAACTATAAATCTAACCACCCTTTCGACATGACGTGCCCTCAACAATCTGTCTTACAGGCAAGCGAGGGGGGAGGAGGTGGGCGGTGCGGGGAGAGGGGAAGGCACGCGTAATAACATGATATCAGAGCAAAAGTCAGTTCCCAGTAATAACTGTGTGGTTCGATGTCGGCTATTCCGTTTGATTGACGTTCGATTAACAATCACATACTTCACTAGAAATCGTTTATATTGCTATCTCCGTGAACTGCTTCCTTAATGTATATACGTACATACAATATATGATACACATACACACGCTGTTTATTTTTACTTCACAAGAATTTTGGCTGAAAGAGGATTTATGTACAATATACGAACACTCTACAGATATTGATTTCAGTCGACTTTTGTGTATCTGCTGCTTGTATACGCGACGCGACTCAAAAGATTTTATTTCAATAAACATTTCAAAAGCAATTCCCCTGAAATAACAAGAGCGGCTATAAAATTACTACAAAATTGTGGCTCCACGATTGCCGTTTGACTTTTTTCTTCTATAATGGAAAAAGGCGAGGCAATGTGACGCGGCCGCCATTTTTGCATAATTTGCAATCCCGCACCAGTATTGACGGCAATCTAA